ATTTTAAGATTTTTACATTAGAGCAATTGAAACATACAAACAATCATTGGAAAAGTTCAAAAAAGCATCAAACTTTTTTTTAAACCCCTCAAAAACTCACCAAAAATTGGACACTGAAAATTTTATTTAAAAGACGTAAAAAAAGTTGGTGTTTTTTAACAACCACAAACTGGTTTATTATTTCTGAACCAACACAAGTAGGCACGTTATATGGAATTACTGGAATATTTTTGAATTATCGGAGATGATTTCTTTTGAAAATTAAATTTTTTTAAACAATTAAAATTAATTTGGATTTACAAGAATTATTTTGAAATTTAGTTGCAATTACTGAAATTAATTTGAAATTATAAATAGGAATTAATTTGAAAACAATAGAATTACGATGAATTACTAGAATTTCGATAAACTTTTATGGAATTTAAAATGTTACTTCTAAAAATTCACTGAAAAACGACCAAAAAAACTCAAATTTAAAAAAAAACACCAATTTTTTCAACACTCGAAAAATACCAACATATCTATAAATCACCAAAAATTGGCCAAAAACCTAATATAATTACATTAAAAAAACTTACAAAATTTCTCGTTTTTAAACGCCTCAAAATGGATTTTTAATCAATGAAAAACAACCAAAAATACCCCAATTTTTAGATTTTTAGAACAGAGCATTTGGGACATACAATCATTTATAAACTTCGAGAAAAGCCTCAAACCTTTTTTTAAACCCCAATTAAACATCCCAAAAACTCACCAAAAATTAAATTTAAAAATTTTAATTCTCAAAAAATTTGTTGTTTTTCTACACCCCAAACTAGCTTATTATTTTTGGACCAACACATTTGGGCACTTCAAATATCATGAAATTTCATTGAAATTGCTTAGAATTATTTGAAATTATTAAAATTATATTTGGATTGTTTGGAATTACTGCAATATTTGTGAGTTGCAGAAATTTTTCTGAAATTACTGAAAATCTTTAAGAATTATCGGAGATAATTTCTTTTGAAAATTACGTTGAATTTTTTAGAACAATCGAAATGAATTGAGATTTACAAGAATTATTTTGTAACTCAGTATTCAGTATTCAGTATTCAGTATAATTACGAAAATTAAGTTAGAATTATCGGAATTAATTTGAAATTTTAAGAATTAATCTAAAACAATAGAATTATTAGAATTTCAACAGACTTTTTTGGAACTAAAATTAGTAGTACACATCTTTTCTAGTCTGGAGCCCCTCAGGACTGCTAAATTTGAAATTAGTTGTACAAAATTTTGAAATTTAATTTAAATTTAATAAGTTGCTAGGAATTATTTGGAATTACTAAAATTATCTTTGGATTGTTTAAAAATAC